TATGTAGAAATATATTTACCCCGCGAAACTTTCCTTTTTCGATTATCATTATATGTACGTATACTTTATTTTATCGTACTTCAAATTAAGAATCAAATTATTTAGATGTTAAAAATTTCTGTTCATAGACATGCAATATAAGTATCGAAAAATTTCAAGCGTTATATTCTCTGCATTTTCATTTATTTAATTAAAAATTTTGCAAATTGCTATAACTTATTTATTAATTTTAACATTTGTAAATTATTTAGAATTTTTATTTCTAATATAACCTTTTCGTTAATTTCTCTTGATTTTTTTTTATATCTTTTTGCCAGATTCTGTTATATCGGATGCGATTTTCAAGTTCGCCCTGACAAGTCTGCATAAATATGCGACGATCAAGCCAAAAGAAGATTTTGTTTTTAGTCCATACAGCATATATCAGGAACTTTTCTCGGTTTACCTTATCTCCAGTGGTGATATTGAACAGCGTTTAAAGAACATTCTTTATTTGCCTAATATCCCAAAGTATAAGTTGATGAAAAACATTAAATTTGATAAATACGCTGCAAGACATCATAAATACTCTACAAACCGGCCCGCAGAATATGAGGTAAATAGTTTTGACGCACTTTTCAATAATAATATTATATAATGGATATATTAATTTAAAAAATGTTAAATTTTATTTTTGCGTTGTATAAAATGACATGTAATGATATTTATTAAATATAAACTTTGCAACTAAAAAATAGATTAAGCAGTAATAAAAAGCTATAATAGAAAAATGTATAAATAAAATAAGATTTTGAATCTTTGGTAAAATACATATATCATTGAGCATTGTTTGAATAAACAATTTTTTAATCCAAAGTTCTTTCTTATCGAAATTTTAATTATGACTCGTTTTCATGTAGACTAATTTCAACGAAGTAACGTGATGCGATTTTAAAATATATGAAGATTTAGCTCTTATGTAAATGAACGTGCGAAACCAACATTTTAAAGAAGTGATATAAATTCTTTAGTTAAGAATGCATAGGGGTTTTTTAAACATTTTTTTTTAATAATGTTCTAGGATACTGTCTCTTGTGTGCCACATTACGCGATTCAGAATAAATGTACTTTTATAAACACAATACTTCGTGATAACATTGAAATAATAAAAAAATTGTACAATCTTGGATTCTTATCTGAAAAGAGCAATGATATTCAGGATATAAATAGAAAGATCAATAAAGTCCTAGAAGTTTTGACAAAGAATAACATTCTTAAACCGTTAAAATTAAAAGTAAAAACAGAAGATTTGGATATTATATTGATGAACGTACATAATTTCCACGGTCGAAATCAATTAATCCCTAAACCGATAAGAAGTTGCAGTGTCGACCAATCATTATCGATTATACCGATATCGACCTTTCTGAAATTTAAAACATGTGAGCATATATATTTTTCATATAATATTACACAACTTTTAATTAAATTTCTTAAATTAATTTTAATCCAATAATAATTCGTTTATTTAATTTATTACGTAAAAAACACTGCTTAATTTATTTCATTAATAAAATGATGACAAAGCAATATTAAATGTTAAGAAGGAATCGCCATCTTTCTACTGTCAGAAACAGCTGTTTCCATAAACATCAGAAAGAGTTTTTGTTATGATTATATAAATTTTTTAAATATAACGAGAAATATACATATATAATGTTGGGTGCTCGGCAGCCATTATGACAAATTTGTTGCGGTGTAATATTTCAAATAAGACATATTATAGTATAATATATTTATACTATACCAATGAAAAGGCGCAATTAAAGATTAAGTATTCATTTTAAGTATTCGCATAAAAATTGTTCATAGGTGTTTGAGACTATTAATAATAAATTAATTAATTTATCGCGTTTCATTGTCATTTATTTTATTTTCATTTTTTCATAATTATGTCTTAATATACGTTTACGCAAATAATTTCTAATTCTTAGAAATGTAAAATAATACGTGGACGTTTTTTTTTAGTTTCCAGTAATGAATTACAGGTGGACGTAAAAGAGTTAATCATCGAGGAATATTTCACGACGCTGTATATGTTGATACCTTTTCCACCAAGCACAAACAAGAGAGTCAAAACTGATAGGAGCAGCACGAGCCTTTCCAGTTTGATTGAAAGATTGTCAAGCAGCGAAGGAATGCGTGTACTTCGGAAATTGCTGTCTTCTGTAAGAGCAGGTGGATCACTATCTTCCTCTACTCGGCCGACCTTTGAAATTGAAAAAAATTTAGATATGCAAGTTCTGTTGCGAGAACTTGGCGTCGAACAGTTATTGACGCCCGACGCGATTCCTTTGGACAACACCTTCGCGGAAGACAATCAATTCGTGCACTTCGGCAATGCCGTGCACCGTGCTCGTGTCAAGGTCACGGAGGATAACGTCACTGCGACTGCGGTAACCTTGATCAGTGGACAAGAACCCAGTTCAAACGATATTATAAGCAACATGTATCTGAATTATCCGTTCGTTTGGCTAATTTACGACAAAATGAAAGCAGATATTCTTTATATCGGCGTATTTAATGAAGTTGACAAGAATACCGGCACTTTATTGAATGAAATCAGTCTCACAGAATGGATTCACAAAAAATTGTATAACACATATCCTCCGAGTTGCTCGCGACGTTCAACCTAATCGTCGGGAAGTTTAAAAGTCTTCATTACTATGATTACTAAAAGGGGCGCCAGTTAGAAGTTTTTAGATATTGGCTTAATTATTGAGAATTTGTTTGAAAAGACTTTACGGCAAATTATTTCGAAACTTTTAGGCATTTGTTATTAAATTTTTACGAGTGGAAAATTTTTTTGGCCAAAATTATGGATTTTGACACCGCCTTTGAGGAATCTTATCCCCGGTGGGTGTTGGAAATCGACGAGCAATCTTGTATCTCCAAATTTTGTCTGAAATTAAGAATCAAAAATTTTATTATTATTTATTATATTACATTGTCGATGAAGCTTTAATATTAGTAAAGAAATTTATATAAATATTTTTTTTTATAAATATGTAAACAAAATTTCAAAATTGTATTGTTTTGTTTTAAGCTGCATCATATTGTCAATTTCTTAATTGTTTCTTATTTTATTAGTTCGTCGGCAAAATAATATTATAAATAATAAAAGAAATTTTGGTTTTTCAATTTCAAACGGAGTTTAGAGATATGAGAATGCTCGCAAATTTGCAACTTCAATGGTTAGGCTGCAAGATAATTTATATAAAGCGCCTTTTAATTAACATTTATTGAAGAAGAAAATTTTTTCGATATTTTTAAATAATTAATAAATGGTTAAAAGTTTTACAATGATCCGCTTTGCAGTATTTGTAAAATAAATTCGAAAACGATACTTTTTTAGCTCTCTAAGATAGCTGTGTTTCTCTTTAATTCAGTGGTACACAAATCGGATGTACGCTATAATACGCTGTAGTATGCTTTTGGTAACAGAACTGTAGTTGTGGAAGATGTTACTATTTTAGCAATATTTTATATCTTTTCAGTCAAATTTTTATCAATTTGAGACAATTTGCACTATATCTGCCCGATATATTCTATGATCAATTTATGTTAAAAATTTGTATATAAATTAACACAATCAAATATATGCATACATATGTATATAAAATATGAATACATATTTATGTAGATATATGCATATATGCATGTATACATATATGTATAAATTTTTTGTCATAAATGTTAATCATTGAATGATTTATTTCAAATCTCATGATAGAGATTTTTGGCAGCCAAAAGATAATTCTCTAACAAAATTTAATATTAAATATACATTATATAATGTATGTTAAATATGTGTTATACAATATTGCAAAAATATTAAATGTGCGATCATAAAATAAGAGAAAATGTTAATAGTATTTTAATTATTTTTAAATATGTGATACTCTCAACTTATTATTTAAATTTTATTATATAATGTTGCTGTAGATGTTAGAATTATACTTTATATCTTCGATAATATGTTACAACTGTCATATTAAATTGTATCTATATCCTTTTTTTTTACAACATTATTCAGATTCAATAAATTTTCGACTTCTCTCTTAGTTAACATACACTATACACGTATATATAGGTGCTATCCATTTTTTTAGATATTTATAACGACTTTAGATATTTATAAAACTGATTCTGTATTTATAACGATTTTAGATATTTAGGAAGACTGACTCTGTAACTCGCTATTAATATATATAATAGGGACTTGATTCTTTGTCGAAATATTATTTGACATTCTCCATCTTCGCGTAATAATGTATCGAATTTATTTTAAATCGTCAAAGAAAATGTTATAGAAATATTAATACGCTGAGATTTAAGTGATATTAGAAAAAATAAAAATTATATTTAGACATATACATTTGAATTAAATGTTACAGCTCATTTCTTTACTTCATATTACATTAAAGTCATTCTAATAATATATTAATTTTGCTCCTATTGTGAATTTTTTTATCAGCTACTATATACAATTTTTTTGCGAATCTTTTATTTTGCAATTTTTATTTCATTAAATAAAATAAAAATTCATTAAATGCGAGTTGTTGCACAATAAAATATTTAAATATTAAAAAATATTATTGTATAATGAAATTATTGATATGTAATTAAATATTGGATTATCAGAAACAAAAATTACTAGTCTTTCAACAAATTTAAAAAGACAATTCAGAAAAATAATTATTTTTAGTTAATTATATAAGCAAAAAATCCAAGTCTTGTAAAATTTTAGACAAGCAAAATTTTTAGACAAGTCTTTTGTGTACTTTACGTAGGCTTATATGTTTGTTCCTGTTTTTGCTGGTGTAAAAACAGTTTGTATTTAAACATAACAAAAGTTTAATTCGATTTAATTTCTCGCGCACACATCATTTTCGGCGATAATATGCGCATGCGCAACATAACAATACATACAATAAAAACAGCTCTATAATATCGAGACAGAGAAAGCAAGTTTGGAACTACAGCTAAAAATGGAGCAGCAAAGAGAAAAAGTTGGTTAGTCGGAATAATATCTTTTACAATCTCAAATAATTTTGATTTCGATTTCACAAACTAATTAAGATATACGACGCTAATATTTTCTTTGTAATATATTATTACACTCTTTTCTTATGTAATTTCATATTTGATGTAATTTTATGAATATTGCATAATGCGAGTTTCGTAATTTATTAGAATAAAGTAAAGTTGCAAACGTTATTTCAAAACCCATGATATTAACTATATTTTAGAGGATATATTTTCGTTATATAACACAATTTTTATGGTATTTTACTGAAAGTACATATATTTGAATTAATTTCAGAATTTTTATATATAGAATTATTGCAGAATATACTTCATTGTTAGATATTGAATATTAATATTAAATATCATCAATAATAATCCACCGAATTTAAATGATCTATTTCTTGAAAATATAAGCAAAATACTGTTCTTAAAATTCACAAAGTTATATATTAAATTAAGTTTATTTTTAGACGTGTTGGTAAACATAGGTAATAATTATTTTTATAGGTAACAAATATTAGTGAACTTTTTTCTTTATTTCTATCGGTTATTATTCTACGTATGTTGTGTATTAATATCTCTTTGATTTTAATTATATTGTTGAAACATATTGCTATAATTATTTTTAATTAATTTATTATAATTTATTATAATTTTCTATTTTAATAAATATCTTTTTTGTCAATTTTGCTTGAACTACATAAAATTATATTGGATTTTTTTCTGTTCATCAGATAAAGTATTGTCGGAGGGCCTTTTTAAGTTCTCGATCAAATGTCTGCGTAAATACATGAAAATCAAACCAAAAAGCAAGTATGCCTTATTCAGTTCATATAATTTATATGAAGCATTATTTTGGTTTATCTTACATCCAGTGGTGCTATTGAACAGCGTTTAAAAGATATTCTTTATTTAACGGAAGTCTTGAAAGATGATTTAATCGGTACTATTACTTTTGATAAATATGGCTCACAAGTTGTCAACGCAGCATCAACCTCTCAAGATGAACAATTAGAGGTAAATAATTCTTTTATATTTTTGCATTAAATGATGGAAATTATATAAAAAAATAAATCTAACGTGTAAAATGCATTTAAAAATATCTTTATTAAATAAAAACTTTGCGATTGTAAAATATCTATTTTAGTGATAACAAAAGAACATAAATATTTTTAATCAAATTAAAAATTAGAAACTTTGATACTTTAAATATCGCTGAGTAATATTTTAAGAATATATTTTTTAAATAAAATTCGGATTTCTTGTTAATTGACATACATAATTTTGTCTCTTTTTTTATATAGATTAATTTGAATGAAATAGTTTTTTATTCAGAAATAAATAGAGATTTTACATTTTTTTTGTTCTAGACAAATGCGGCTGCATGTAATTACGAGAAGAAGAGTATGTGTTGGATTACTAGTAAGCTTTCCGTAAATCTCGAATTAATGCATGAAATTTTCGACAAAATGATTATATACACTGGTGACAGAACTATCAGGAAGATACCTAAAATTATAAATAAAGAAATACGATCTCAGACGGAGAATTACATACGTAATCCGATAAAATTAAGTCTGTTAGGAAATGTGGAGATTGTTTTGATGACTATACTTCGTTTTAATCGAGAATTTCAAAAATTAACACCTCAACCTGATACACAAAGTACGCCGACTGAATCTGATGAGTGGGAGTGCAAAAGCTGTGAGTATCTCTTCATTTCATATTCTTTTACTTACAATACAATTTCTGTATTTTTATAATTTTGTGCGATTTTTTGTTATTTTTGTAATTTTTTGTAACATTTTTTAAATTAATCTTAAACGAAGCATATTTGGATAAATATTTTATTTTGTAAAAAGCATAATTATTTTATTTCTTTGTTAATGAATGAATAGTCAAATACTGCATTAAATATTAAAAATATATATCGTATCTTTCTTCCAACATAATAAATGTATTTGGAAATTTTCTAACATATAATAAGAAATAATTTTTGAAAACTCTTCTAAAGAATTGTCGCTTTGTAATGTGTTAACGCATATGATTTATCTAGAAAAAATTATGCATTAATGAAATTTAATTAAATTTGGTATAATAATAAATAATAATAATAATATTAATAATAATAATAATTTATTATTTGGATTTATATTTAATATATTACAGAGCCTTGAGTTAATCTTATTGTTAGTAAATAATAATAATAAATATAATAATAAAAAATAATAAAATATAATAAGAAAATAATATTAAAATAAAAAGTAATATAATAATAAAAATTCTCTATTTACAATTTTATTAATTCATTTATCTTGGCCATTTTCTGTTTTCTAAATTGTTATGTTTTTTTTAGTTTTCTACAAGGAATTAAGCACATTCGTAGGCGAGTTTCCCTATGATAAGAGCAATGTATCGTTATTTATATTGCTTCCTGCTTTAGTGATCCCAAATACCGAATATTTCAAACTATGCGACAAGAACTCTAGCCTTAACAACTTGATCAAACGATTGTCGACTAACGAGGGAATTTGCGAATTGCGCAAATTGCTAGATAATGATATTGGAAAGGATGAATCGGAAAGTTTAAAGACTTTCAGTCTTGGCCAATCTTCGAGTTGGAGAAAAATGTGAAAATTCAGGTGCTGCTGCAAGCTTTAGGCCTCGAACAATTATTGAAGTTTGACGCGATCGACCTGTATAAGTTATTTTCGGGGGACGACCAGAAGGTGCAATACGGCAATGTTGTGCACCGTGTTCACGTCAAGGTCACGGAAAAGAACACCGTCGCGGGTGCGATGACGTTGCTCACCGGACAGAGGACTCTTCCGAACCTGCAGATGATAAAGGTGGAGGCCGATTATCCGTTCGTCTGGCTGATTTATGACAAATGCCATCGAGACATTCTTTTTATCGGTGCTTTTAGAAACTTTAATTCAGACGAGGATTGTCATTCCGATGAGCTTTGCTAGCAATTCTTTAAGTTGAGACATTTAGATGAGGACAAATATATAAATTTTCTACTTTAAAGTCAATTTTTTGTCTATTTGAATTTCAATGAAAGATTATATTATAGGAAATATAATAAATTTTATTTAAATAATTTGAGACGGAAATGACAAATTAATGTCTTGTGATATACAAATTCATGTTCGCTTGCTGTTCAAATTTTTGAATTTTCTGAGTATTGAGAAAAAAGGAACCCTCGTGTTCTTCAAAGTATTTCGGAATTATAATCTGTTAAATGATTCTCTTAATATATTTATTGCATTTAAATTTCATTGTTTTAGATCTATTTGTTGTTTTAATTAGCCAAAGTTGGACATACAGTAATTAAAAAGTAATATCATTATTTAAATATATAAGTGTTAAATTTCTATAAACCAGTGAATATACATATACACATACATATACAATGTATACATATATGTATACATGTATGTATTCATATGTATACATATATATACTTACAAGTATATATACTTATACTTATATTAAATAAAATATTTTATATTATATGTACTACAGTTATATTATTCATATAATTAAAAAGTAATTAAAAAGTAATATCATTATTTAAATATATAAGTGTTAAATTTCTATAAACCAGTGAATATACATATACACATACATATACAATGTATACATATATGTATACATGTATGTATTCATATGTATACATATATATACTTACAAGTATATATACTTATACTTATATTAAATAAAATATTTTATATTATATGTACTACAGTTATATTATTCATATAAATGTATATGTATATGCATATGTGTATGCATGTACATAAATATTTTTATCATATTAATAATTATATAAGAAAATAGTTTATTGCCGAAATTTAACATTGTATATTATACATAATGTTTTTTATAATGTTTGCAACATTTTTCATAATGTTTACAAAATTTGTAAAAATATTATTTGTTCTGTGTTAATGTATACAAATAAAAAATTAAATTGTCTTTCTCTCTCAAATATTTAAGCGTGTGATATGCTGAATTCTTTTCAATTTTGCTAATATGGCTATAACATTATACCTAATTATTTTGTTAATAAATTTGCATCTTTTTTTTATGATCCAGCAATAACAGAATTGATGCATTTTTTACTAATTTTTACTTGATGTACGCTATATTGTATTTATTTTTAGAAAAGAAATTTTTAGATACACACGCTATGTGTATCTATTTTTTTATAATTGTGACAATGTATAAGATCACGTTTACTTACATAATAAAAAATAATATACCAACTTATGTATTTTGTTGATTTATAATGAGTCTATGTAAGTTTGCATTCGTGTGTAAGGTTAATAGTCACCCGGTAAATATTTTTTTATATAATCATATATAAATGATTAATAAAATTATATATAATTATATATAACTATACTTGAAATATGTTCATACATAAATAGTTATAATTATACATAATTAGATATAATTACGTTCTACATGCATATTACTGTAACATTTTAATTATGCATTTTTTTATTTATTTGAATATATTTATTAATGTTTGAACTTCTATCAGTTTGATTTCTCATATTGAAATCAAACTAATAGGTATAATTTAATTTTGATATATTTTATTAGTCACTTTTTGTAAATTAATATATAATATTTAAAACAATTTAAATACGAGATAAAGCAGTGCATATGCGTCATAGAGTGGTAAGCGAACAAACTAGCATATACATGCTTTCTATATATAATTATATAAATTTATATATCAATTATGAGAGTTTATATATCATCATGTTAGATTGTTTATAAAACACAAAAGAAATATCTATTAGTTATATAATATAATTATATATAAAAGCGTTAATTATATATAAAAGTTTGTCAATCAGCATTATATAAAATTATATATAAAGAATTAAAATTATATATAATTATATAATAGCTCATATATAATTTTATATATTTTTATATAATTTTATATTATTATATATGATATTATGTATAAAAAATTTTTTACCGGGCAGTGACAAAAAAGAAAGATATATTTATTTTCCAGCGAAATAAAGACATTATAAGTAATCAGACATTTTAAATTTGTCAATTTCAATGATAGATTCTTTCTTCAATAAAATTCAGAAACCTTATTTATGGGAATATTTTTATAAATTTGACTCTTCCTTTATTTAGATTAATTTAAGCATTTAATTTGGCATACTCTTAAGTCACATTTAATTTAAGTTTTCGCGCACAAAGTACATTACAATATACATGTACGCGTGCGCATGATATATAAATAAATAATAACAGCAGCTATATAATATCGAGACACAGTCAAAGCAAGGTTGTCACTAATTTGTTACCGTATAGCCAAAATGAAATTGGGAACTTCAAAAGAGAAAATTGGTGAGTCGAAATAATATCTTGTATAAATGTTTTTATTCCGATTTCACAAATAGATTATTAGAATATACAAGCTCTAACGTTTCCTTTGTGTTATATCATTTTATAACACACTTTTCTTAGGTAATTTTATACATTTTTATGTAATTTACTAAATATTGCATAGTCTCGTGATGCAATAGATTTAAGTAGAATCATGTACATTTCAAAGAACTGATGACATTAATTATATTTTAGCAAATATTTTTCGAGATTTTGATATACTTACACGAAATAAGTTTAATGTAATTTTAATTATGATTATTGAGCAGACAGAAATAATATTTAAAAAATTTCAAAACTTTTGATATATAGAATTGCTGCAAAATATCATATTTTTATTGTTAAGAGTATTATTATTAATATAATTATGAAATATCATCAATAATTTACCGATTTCGAATTATATGTTTATTCCATTTTCTGGAAATTTAAGTAAAATACTGTTCTTAGAATTCGTTATGTATTAAATAACGTTTATATGTAGATATGTTAGTAAACATAGATAATAATATATTTGTGAATCTTTTTTATTTCTTTTTTAAGTGTCATTATTATGTTGCTTATTTTAACATATTTCAAGTTATTGTAAAAAAATTTTAATACACACACATTATATATTTTATAATACTTTGAAATTATTTATATTAATTCGATTTTCAGTATTACTATACAAAACATGATTATAAATAATTTATAAATTGTAATACAATTTATTATGATTTTTTATTTTATTAAATACCTTCTGTCAATTTTGCTCGACCTTTTAATCATATTTATTTCTTCTATTCACTAGATAAGATGATGACGGAGGCGTTTTTTAAGTTTTCCATCAAATGTCTGGATAAATATATAAAAATCAAACCAAAAAGTAATTATGCCTTTAGTCCACTTAACTTATACGAAGCACTATTTTTGGTTTATCTTACGTCCAGTGGTGTTTTTGAACAATATTTAAAAGAAATCCTTTTTTTAACGAAAATCTCGAAAGATGACCTGATAAATAGTATTAATTTTGATAAATATTCTTCAAATTTAATCGGACAAGTATCATCTTCCGACGATCCACAATTACAGGTAAATAATTTTTAGATGATAGAAATCATAAAGAAAAATATCATTTTATAAAATGACATAACACATGTAAAGGTATTTTTTAAATAAAACTTTTGCGTCTTTAAAATATCTATTAAAGAGTAACAAATATATATATATATATATATATATTTGTGAAATATAAAGATTTGAAACTTTAATAGATTCTTTAATAAAATCCAGAAATCTTACTTATCGAATTATATAACATTGTCTTTTTTATATAGATTAATTAGAATAAATTATCTTGACGCGATTTTAAAATACTCGAGAATTTAGAATAAAAATAATGAAGAAAATATAGATGTATAAATAAAAATATATAAAGAACAATTTAGAAAAATAAGCAGTCTTTAATTCGAGAATTAATTGATATCTGACAAATATTTGATATTTTTGATTCTAGACAAATGCACCTGCAGCTGCATGCGATTACGAGAATGGAAGTATGGGTTTGTTTGTAAAAAGTAAATTTTCCGCAAACCATAAATTAATGAGAAAAATTTTCAAGAATGGATTCTACCACTTTGACGACAATACTAAGGAGAATTTATGTAAAACAAATAAACAAATACAATTGCTGACAAATAATTACATTGTTGATCCGGTACAATTAATCACGAATTATGCAGGTTTGGAGATTATTTTAACTAGTGTACTTTGTTTCAATCAGAAATTTCAAACGAATGGTTCTCTTAACGAACGGAAGTGTAAGAACTGTGAGTATCTTTTTATTTCATATAATGAAGTTTTTTATAGTTATATTTGTAAGAATGATCGTAAGCAAAATAGATTTTATTTAATTTTGGTAGATGTATTTTATTTTGCATAAAATAACATTATTTTATTTTTTGTCAATTAATCCGAATAGCTAAAGCTGTATTAAATTTTAAAAATGTATTGTAACTTTTTCTCTGCAGAAGCAAAATACAAAAGATTTTACTATTCAGACATTTTCTAAAATTTAATGAAAAATTTAAATTTTTGTATAATAAAAATTCTTTCTAAAATGTTTAAAATTGTTAAAGAAAAGTTTTTATGTTTTTGCAATTTATTTAATTTTGACGCTTTTTAATACTAAAATATAAATATTGAAAATACAAAATTTTATATATGTAGTCCAAAAAATTCTCTTTCTATTTTATACGCAATAAATTGAAGATGTTTATTGATTCATATTTTCTCTTGTCTTTTTTTTAGTTTTTTCTGTCAAATTAAGCGCAGTCGTAAGCGAGTTTCCCTATCAGAATAATAACATATCGCTGTTCATCTTCCTATCTGCTTCCAAGATCTCAGATAGTCCCAAGCGCATCAAACTAAATAAAAGCAGCTCCAAATTTAACAATTTCATTCGGCTATTGTCAAGCGACGAGGGAATCTATGAATTAAACAATCTGCTAAATAACGATACGATAAAAATAAATGTTAAAACGTTTTCGTTTCGGCCTAACTTTGAAATGGAGAAAGATCTGAAATTCCGCGAACTGTTGCAAGCTTTAGGTGTACAAGAACTGTTGATGCATTACCCGATCGATCTGGATAATAATTTTTTCAAGAGTAATGAGCAGCAAGTGCATTACGGCGACGTCGCGCATCGCACTCACGTCAAGGTCACGAAAGAGAGCACTCTCGTGGGTGCGATGACGTTGCTCAGCGGAGAAGGGTCGGTTTCGAAGGTAGTCTCAAAGTCGGCCAATGTGAGTGCCAAGTATCCGTACCTCTGGATAATTTATGACAAACAGCAACAAGACATTCTCTGCACCGGCGTTTGCAAAAAATCTACTTTTTGATAGTCTAAGATCAGGATGATTATCACAGATTAAGATACGATTTGTGGATATAAAACGGCTATTAGATATATAGATCTTTCAATTATTCGAAAATGCTGTAATTACATTGTTCAAAAAAATTAATCGGAACGAGACTAGTCGTTTCTTACCTTTTTTTTTAAACTTTAATATAAACCAGGTTTTTAAATTATTTCATCACTTCACAATTTTGAGGAATTTTTAATTAAAGTTATTTAGCATCTAAAAATTTATGAGAAATTACCCTCGTTCCGGTAAATTTTTTTATTGAATAATATTATTGAGCTGATGTATTTTTTTTCGAGGTAATTATTTGTCGATTCGAGTTAAGCTGAATTATATTTTGGCGCAAAATATTTTATAATCAAAAATTTATTAAAAATTTAGAGAGAGATAAAGTAAATGCGATTTGTTTAACTTTGTTTAATTTTACTATAATATTGTGATAGCATTATAATTTTTTTTAAATATATTACACATAACATCTTTCTTTTTCATGATCCAGCAATAACATAATCGATGGATTTTTGACTTCTTTTTCATTTGACATGCGCTATATATAAGTGTCTATTTCTTTATGTTTTCACATTTGCATCGCGATATTGTATGAGATAATATAAATTTATATACTAAGTTTTGAATTTTTGACGTTCATATCAAATTATATGTTTTTTAATGTGCATTTACGAGTGTTTGTATTCGTCTGCATATTATGATTCTAACAAATGGCAATGCTAACAGTACGCAAGCGAGATTACAATTAATATCGACAATCTGAGTTTTTTTAATAAAAGATTTGTGCATTTTACGTAAATCATATATATTGCCTTGTTTGTGCTATTTTAAAAACAGTATGTACTTAATTAAATATGGAACCGAAAACATTAATTGATAAGTCTAAATAAGATTATATACAATTTTATAATTTTCTAGTCAGCTTATTGAATAGAAAATGATCTATATAATTTCAAAATAAAATTTATATACTGTTTCAAGAAAATTTATATTTTAATGTAGATATTATTTTAGCATTTTAAATATATCTCAATAAATGAAATTTTAAAGTATTACTTCCTCACTATTCATTACAAAAATAAACTCGGATAAACATAAGAATTAGATAAAATATGCAGATTATAATTTCTTTTTGCTAAACTTAAATGTTAAACAAATTTTTAATGTAGTCGTACAATAAATATTATAAAATATATTTAGATTACATTTTGACGTATTTCTGAATTATATGTTAAGAACAAATCAAAATTTATAGATTTATATTAGATGTAGCCCTCGATTTGTAAAAAAAAATTTTGATGAAAATGTTCAAAAGTTTAATCCAATTTAATTTCTCGCGCACACATTATTTTCGGCGATAATATGCGCATGCGCAACATAACAATAAATACAATAAAAACAGCTCTATAACATCGAGACATAGACAAACCAAGTTTGGAACCACAGCTAGAAATGGAGCAAAAAGAAAAAATTGGTGAGTCGGAATAATATCTTTTACAATCTCAAATAATTTTGATATGGATTTCACAAACTAATTAAGATATACGACAATAATATTTTCTTTGTAATATATTATTACACTCTTTTTGATGATGTATTTCATATTTGATGTAATTTTATGAATATTGCATAATGCGAGTTTCGTAATTTATTAGAATAAAGTAAAGTTGCAAACGTTATTTCAAAACCCATGATATTAACTATATTTTAGAGGATATATTTTCGTTATATAACACAATTTTTATGGTATTTTATTGAAAGTACATATATTTGAATAAATTTCAGAATTCTTTATATATAGAATTATTGCAGAATATACTTCATTGTGTGTGTGTGTGTGTGTGTGTGTGTTAAGTATTAAATATTATTATTAAATATCATCAATAATAATTCACCGATTTCGAATGATCTATTTCTTGAAAATATAAGCAAAATACTGTTCTTAAAATTTACAAAGTTATATATTAAATTAAGTTTATTTTTAGACGTGTTAGTAAACATAGGTAATAATATTTTTATAGGTAACAAATATTAGTGAACTTTTTTTTTATTTCTATTGGTTATTATTCTACGTATGTTGTGTATTAATATCTCTTGGATTTTAATTATATTGTTGAAACATATTGCTATAATTATTTTAATAATTTTAATTATAATTTATTATAATTTTCTATTTTAATAATTATTATTTTTGTCAATTTTGCTTGAACTACATGAAATTATATTGGATTTTTTTCTATTTATCAGATAAAGTAATGTTGGAAGCGCCTTTCAAGTTCTCGATCAAATGTCTGCGTAAATACATGAAGATCAAACCGAAGAGCAATTATGCCTTATTCAGTCCATATAACCTATATGAAGCACTATTTTTGGTTTATCTTACGTCCAGTGGTGCTATTGAACAGCGTTTAAAAAATATCCTTTATTTAACGGAAGTCTTGAAAGATGACTTAATCGGTACTGTTAATTTTGATAAATATTTCTCAAAATTTGTCAACGCAGCATCAACCTCTCAAGATGAACAATTAAAGGTAAATAATTTCTTATATATTTTTGCATTAAATGATGGAAATTATATAGAAAAATAAATCTATTCTGTAAAATATCTATTTTATAGTGATAACAAAAGAATATAAATATTTTTAAGCGAATTAAAAATTAGAAACTTTGATACTTTAAATGTCACTGAGTAATATTTTAGGTATATATTTTTTTAATAAAAATTCAGATATCTTGTTAATCGAGATACATATCTTTGTTTCTTTTTTATATAGATTAATTTGAATAAAGTAGTTCATTTAGAAATAAATCGAGATTTTACATTTCTTTTGTTCCAGAATGCGGCTGCATGCGATTACGAGAATAAAAGTATGTGTTGGATTAAAAAAGTAAGTTTTCTGCAAACCCTAAAGCGATGAACGAAATTTTCAAAAATGGATTTGAAATCTTTGATGACAATGCTATCAGGAAGATACCTAAAATTATAAATAAAACAATACAATCTCAGACGAAAAATTACATACGTAATCCGATAAAATTAAGTGTGTTAGGATATGTGGAGATTGTTTTGATGACTATACTTCGTTTTAATCGACAATTTCAAAAATTAACACCTCAACCTGATACACAAAGTACGTCGACTGAATCTGACGAGTGGGAGTGCAAAAGCTGTGAGAATCTCTTCATTTCATATTCTTTTACTTACAATACAATTTCTGTATTTTTTATAATTTTGTTCGATTTTTTGTTATTTTTGTAATTTTTGTAATATTTTTTAAATTAATCTTAAACGAAGCATATTTGGATAAATATATTTTATTTTGTAAAAAGCATAATTATTTTATTTCTTTGTTAATAAATGAATATTCGAATACAGCATTAAATATTAGAAATATATATCGTATCTTTCTTCCAACATAATAAATGTATTTGGAAATTTTCTAACATATATAAGAAATAATTTTCAAAACTCTTCTAAAGAATTGTCGCTTTGTAATGTGTTAACGCATATGATTTATCTAGAAAAATTATGCATTAATGTAATTTAATTAAATTTGGTATAATAATAAATAATAATAATAAAATATTAATAATAATAATAATTTATTATTTGGATTTATATTTAATATATTACAGAGCCTTGAGTTAATCTTATTGTTAGTAAATAATAATAATGAATATAATAATAAAAAATAATAAAATAATAAGAAAATAATATTAAAAAAAAAAGTAATATAATAATAAAAATTCTCTATTCACAATTTTATTAATTCATTTATCTTGACCATTTTCTGTTTTCTAAATGTTATGTTTTTTTAGTTTTCTACAAGGAATTAAGCACATTCGTAGGCGAGTTTCCCTATGATAAGAGCAATGTATCATTATTTATATTGCTTCCTGCTTTAGTGATCCCAAATACCAAATATTTCAAACTAAGCGACAAGAATTCTAGCCTTAACAACTTGATCAAACGATTGTCAACTAACGAGGGAATTTGCGAATTGCGCAAATTGCTAGATAACGATATTGGAAAGGATGAATCGAAAAATTATAAAGACTTTCAGTCTTGGCCAATCTTCGAGTTGGAGAAAAATGTGAAAATTCAGGAGCTGCTGCAAGCTTTAGGCCTGGAACAATTATTGAAGTCTAACGCGATCGATCTGTATAAATTATTCACGAGGGACGACCAGAAGGTGCAATACGGCAACGTTGTGCACCGTGTTCACGTCAAGGTCACGGAAAAGAACACCGTCGCGGGTGCGATGACGTTGCTCACCGGACACAGGAGTCTTCCGAACCTGCAGATGATGAAGGTGGATACCGATTATCCGTTCGTCTGGCTGATTTATGACAAACGCCATCGAGACATTCTTTTTATCGGTGCTTTTAGAAACTTTAATTCAGACGAGGATTGTCATTCCGATGAGCTTTGCTAGAAATTCCTTAAGTTGAGACATTCAGATAAAGACAAATATATAAATTTTCTACTTTAAAGTTAATTTTTTGTCGATGTGAATTTTGATGAAAGATTATATTATAGGAAATATTATAATAAATTTTATTTAAATAATTTGAGACGGAAATGACAAATTAATGTCTTGTGATATACAAATTCATGTTTGCTTGATGTTAAAATTTTGAATTTTCTAAGTATTGAGAAAAAAAGGAAGTCTTGTGTTTTTCGAAGTATTTCGGAATTATAATCTGTTAAATAATTCTATTAATTTATTCATTGCATTTTAATTTCATCATTTTACATCTTTTAGTTGTTTTAATTAGCCAAAGTTGGACATACGTAATTAAAAGTTAATATTATTATCTAAATATGGAAGTGTTAAATTTCGATTAACCAGTGCATATATACACATACATATACAATACATACATATGTCAATATATGTATATATATATATGCATACTTACATTTATGTTACATTATATATAATATTTTATATTATATGTACATATAGTTATATTATTCATATATATGTATATGTATATACATATATGTATGTATGTACATATAATTTATATTTATCACGTATGTATGTACATATAATATATTTACGACTTTAAATTATTAAACGACTTTAAATTATTTGTACCGG